AGGAAAAAGCACCCGGGCCAGACAACATCTCACTGGAAGAAATCGAAGCACTGGGAAATTTTTGGAATTGAAATAATAACTAAACTTTTAAATGATATTTATAACAGTGGGTATATTCCAAATGACCTTTTAAAATCCATATTTATAGCTCTGCCGAAGAAACCAGGCACTTTAAAATGTGAAGACCATCGCACAATAAGTCTTATGAGTCACATGACTAAGATTTTACTGAGAATAATTATGAGAAGAATAAGAAACAAAATTAAACCAGAAATCAGCGATGAACAATGTGGATTTGTAGAAGGAAAAGGTACAAACAATGCCATATACATCCTAAGGACATTGTCAGAAAGAGCTATAGAAGTAAAGACTGATTTGTACTTATGCTTCATAGACTATACAAAAGCATTTGACTGTGTGAAGCATGAAGAAGTAATCAAACTGTTAGAAAAATTAAACATTGATGGGAAAGATCTAAGAATAATAAAGAATATGTATTGGCAGCAAACAGCAGCTATAAGAATTAACAACTGTTTAGGTACATTTCAAAGCATAAAGAGGGGCGTACGACAAGGATGTGTACTTTCACCTGATTTGTTTTCAATATACAGTGAATATATTATGAGATCTTTAATTGATATGCCCAGAATCGTGGTTGGTGGGCACAATATAAACAATTTACGTTATGCTGATGACACGGTCTTGATAGCAACAAGTCAGAAAGAATTACAGGAAATGATAGACATTGTGGTGTTAGAAAGTGGAAGAATGGGCCTCAGTTTGAATAATGGGAAGACAGAAGTAATGGTGGTATCAAAGAAACAAATTATTCCTAAATGTGTAATAAAAGTCAATGGTGTTATTTTAAGACAAGTACAGAAATTTAAGTATCTGGGCACATGGATAACATCAGATGGAAGATGCATAACTGAAATAAGAAACAGAATTGGACAGGCAAAAAACTGCATTTTATAAAATGAAAAACGTCTTGTGCAATATATCCTTGTCATTGAGAGTTAGAAAAAGAATTCTTGCTTGCTACATACATCCAGTTTTAACATATGGATGTGAATCCTGGACAATCGGTAGGCAGGCCAAACAATTTTTGGAGGCCTCAGAGATGTGGTTTTACAGAAGAATGCTTAGAATACCTTGGACAGCCAAAAAGAGCAACCAAGAGGTTTTAAAAGAGGCGGGAGACCGAAGACAACTTATCACTGACATCAGAAGGAGACAGTCATCATTTTTCGGCCATGTTATGAGAAGAGGGAAAATAGAACATGTTGTGACCACTGGAAAGATCTGTGGAAGGAGGGATAGAGGAAGACAACGAGAGAATATGCTTGACGGTCTTGTTGCATGGCATGGAGGTGTGTCGGCACACGAACTGATACATGCTGCAGGAGATCGCGGATTATGGAGAGGCATGATCGCCCACGCCAGTCGGCAAGCCACCTGATGATGAATGTCACAGGAAAGAGACTTTGTTTCTTGATAGAACCTCTGCCTCGTGTAATTTCAATCTCAAATTGTCTCTGGTATCTTGTGCATCTTCATGTTAGTCATGTTTTAGTGGGCGGGGGGGGGGGGGTAACCAGCACTCTATGACACAATCTTCTGGTCAATCCTGTGTTACCAATGCCAAAAGCAGAAGAAAAAAAATGACAAGAACTGAAATGAGATTCCTTTGAAACGCTCCTAATGTTACAAGAAGAGATAAGATCGGAAACGATGAAATCCAAAAGAAAATGCGGCTGGCGGCAGTTCAGTAGAAAACAACAAGTGACATGGTTTGGCCATATAAGGTAGATACAAACAAACAGTATACCACAACAAGCAAAGATGTCTATACCAGACGGGAAGCGAAGAAGAGGCCGACCATGTAAACAATGGACCGACAAAATGAGAGAAGATAATCGCCATTAAGCCTCATTTATGAAGCACTAAAAGCGGACACTTTTCTGTAAATTATACTTCACCTCGGCACCGCAACTTTCCAAAGGATCAAGATGAGATGAGATGGGTTTAGACCAGGTATGTCGTACTCAGAGTGCCACCAGGGTCATATGGGTCACATCTGTGTTGTCAAGTCAATACAACTAAGTCTTCTTCTTCTTCTTCTTCTTCTTCTTCTTCTTCTTCTTCTTCTTCTTCTTCTTCTTCTTCTTCTTCTTCTTCTTCTTCTTCTTCTTTTTCTTCTTCTTCTTCTTCTTTTTCGTGTTCACCAGCTGCAAACTCTGGTGGAAAGTTTTGATTATTCATCCACTTTTGGACTGCAGTCCTGTTCCAGAACCTGAGTATTGCATGTGCATCCGTTTTACAGATCCGACTCATCTGTATGCAGACTGCTGGTTCCTTGCCTCTCAGGCAGATGCACTTCGACTTCGAATGAAGCCCCCAATCAGTAGACTCTTACGACATGATTTCCCCCACAATGGGGCCCCGGAACCCACACGGAAAAAACACAACTAAGTGAAGCTCATTTAATAAAAATAAGTGCAATAGATTCTTACTGCGGGCCGCAGTTTTTGACAAGCAAGGTCTAGACATAATAATGGTAACAGCGGCGATCATGATCTACTGTAGACTTACAAGGCTTAGAGAAAAGACGAATTCCTCGTTGGCATCTCTCCGTCTTTCCATAGGACTGTGTGACGTTGTGATATAGATAGGCCTGAGAATCACGGGCCATAGTGATGGTCAGTTAAAGTCGGAGATGAAACTCCTCCTCCCTATAGCGCAAATCTTGGGCAGTATGGTAGATCCCCTGTGTTGCCCATGCTTCATTATCCCTCTCCCAGCCTGCCTTGTTATCTCCATCAGAAAGGCAACACCAATGAGAAAGTTTAATCAGACTGCAGCTGTATTGATTAATATTGGAACTCTGCGCTGGATGCTGAAAATAGGGAGGGGGTGTTTATGGGACTGTCCCCAGTGTGTGATGACCGCTCCCAACTCTCAACATTTTAAATATGAATATGTGTTGAGTGTGTGCGTGCGTGCGTGCGTGCGTTTGCATGTTTGTGTGTGTGTGTGCGTGTGTGTGTGCGCGCGCGTGTGTGTGTGCGTGTGTATATGTGTGTGTGAGAGAGAGACAGAGTGAGAGAGACAGAGAGAAAGAGAGACAATTGGGGCCGTTTAATTTGACTAAAATGTCTTCGTTCCTTACATACGATGCAGTTTACAGACGAATTATCTTGGATGTTTATAATAGCATGTCAGTATAGAATGTCAGTATTGTTACTCCGTCGACTGTTTGCTAAGACATAATTTGTAACGTTTAAGTTGAAGCTAAATGATTTTCTTGTCCATTGATTAGGTAATGGTCCCTCCCAGTCACGTCAGCTTGTCGCCTGGGGAGTGAAACGTGTTCTCAAAATGTTTACTTGAATTTGTTTCGTTTTATGCTGTGAGCTTTCAATGAAGTTTAACTCCTACTTTTCTATGGCTGTTCTTCTCTGTGCTTCTATCGAAAAATCTCAACAGCTGTTAACTATCGGCCCAAAGTATTTACTGAGCCTGACATTTTCGATTTTTTTTTCCTTTGTTCAAGTAATTTTTTTTCTAGTTGTTTTATCCAATGGCAGCTATTTTTCTTTCAAATTGAGACATTAATACCACCAAATAAGTAGGAATCCGCTGATGCCAGAAACCAGAGCGTTGAGTATGAAAGTAGAAACATAAGATGTCATGTTCGACCAAGAAGTCACTGATACCTTGAGACTCCTCAGTATCATAGCATACCGGGCAAGCGAGCGTGCCCTAGCTCGGATACCGGTCATCTGTTGAACCTGAGACGCCTAGCCTCACAAAGCAGAATATGGACAAAAGATCAATTATCGACAATCCATACGAAGCCGCAGAAGTGAAACACAAGTTTATCGGTTAAAAGTTAGTTGCGTATCCTTAACAGGACGTTGCAGAATCAACCTTAGCATGTTTTGACTGTTGTGGTTTTTCTAAACAAATTTCACATTCAGTAGTTTGCCACTGCTTTATTCAAGATCAATTCTTGGTATCACTGTCGAAACCAACGCAAGACAAACCGTTCGCATTTGGGATCTAACCTATCACCCCGGCATTGCAAGGCGCGTTTGCAAGGCCTGCGCCAGAAACGCCAACTTGGAAGCCGTGGTCTCTTAAAAAAAAACAGTGCGGCACTTTTCGGATTCGAACCTACGACCTGCTGATCCGCAGGAGAGCGGCTAGGTCCTCCACCACGACGTCTAGCTCTTATTTTGAATTACCTTTTTCATAACTGCCTGGGAGGTGTGTGTCTACACACACTCACGCGCACACACACATACACACAGGCACAGAGAGAGACAGAGAGAGAGACACACACACACAGACACTCACCAAACACATAAACACGCATATACACACACAAAAACTGTAAAATTAATGTGCACGCAAAACTTAAGTTCTGGACTAAAACTTCAGTCTCAAAATGAAAGATCATCCAAAACCTTCAGTGGGAGTTTTCAGACAGTTAACGATAAGAAAAGAATAATAATTGTGTTTTCTTTAAACATCTTCGTGTTGCAGAACGTCGCTCTCTATTCCTGCAGCGGGCGGTATTGAAAAAGAACGTTTCTAGCGAGAGGGGGGGTGGGGGGCGCGGTTCAGACAGCAGAGACGCACCATGGAGGATAGTGAGGCCTCAACGCGTGATATATTAAAGACAGTATTTAATGCACTGTCTCCAATTCCCAATGTGGAAATGGCCCCAATTTATTATTATTATTAATGTTTTCATTATTGTTATTATTTATATCTGTCCGACAGGCTCTTCTGATCCGGTAGCTTTTGTACCCTGCTTTGTTTCAAACGTACTGGTGTTAACTTTCTTTTGCAGTAAACAAGGCAGGCTGAGAGGGGTCATGATGCCTGGGCAACATGCGGTCTCTGCTATACTGCCCAGGCAGGCGGGTCTTGCATGTAACACTCACCATGGCCTCGGGTTGTGAGCTCTATGCCTTCTTCTGTAAAGAGGAAAGATGCCAACATTATTATTACTATTATTTATTTTTTTTATAAAAATATTTTGGCTTTCCTTCAACAGCGGACCCTGGCTAGCTGATCTGTGTGGTACATGGCCTGCATCCAGGTAACCTTTGCCAGGTTGTCTTCTACAGCCATGCTGATAATCTTATTTTGGCTACAACAAGTCTTCTTTCGCACAATCAAATCCGAGGACAGTAAGTAGGCATATCGTTACAAGTATATTTTATGTCAGAGGACCAGAAAACTGAGAGCTTAGTAACTTTGAACAACCCCTACCACCGCCCACCCCTCCCCCCTCCTCCGTGCCCATGTTTTGAGTGGGAGCGGGTTCAGCTCTCCTTAAACTTGTAAAGGTACTAAACTGCAAGACCCCCCCCCCCTCTTATCATTTTCTTTTTGTTTTAGACCCACCCCTTTCCCGCCTCCTTACACTTTGGAGTTCGATGCGGCCCCTCTAGGCAGATTTCTTTAAACCACACTAGGTCCCAGATCGAACCAGCTTAGGCCATTTACCCACCCCCCCCCCCCTCCCCCCTAAAAAAAGTATGATGGTTTTTTTAAGTGGATGAGGCCCTGATCTTCTCACTTGCCCCCCACCCCCTTCCTCATTGCATGCTTTATGTCGGCGCCCCTGCGCAGTGGGTTGGAGGGAAACGCGGTTGTAGGGTACGAGCGGGGGGGGGGGGATGGGGGGGGGGGTTTAGTTACCTAAACATTTACAGGAAATAGTCTTAAACAGAATACAACCTAAAAACAAAGGTCAATTTTTTAAACATTGTCTCAGTGAGGAGTGAAACTCTTACCACTGGGACTGCAGGCGCGCGCGTTAGCTGCTACGCTCACAGGGCTAATTCCGCCGTTCACCTTTCTCTGTAAGATGTTGCTGACAATTATTCTCTTTGACTAGTCTTCTTCGTTCGTCTTCTTCTGCTGTTCTGTATCCGTAAAAGAAGGAAAGGCAGTGGCGAGGTGTGCAGGTAACCGGAAATCACCTCTTACACTTTACATTGCTAAAGAAAAACTGCTTTTTTTTACTATTTATTATTTATGTTTACTACAAATACGATACCCGCTTTATGTTTCCAACGTAGCGACAGGAACGCACGCTGAATTCTAACAACACTTATACTGTAAAGTGTGAAAGCTACTAGTTACTTGTTTTCTTCTACGATGCTAGATGCGCACGCATACTCTCGACAGCGAAGAAAATATCATGTGATACCCTCACGCATGTAATCTTTACATACTTTTGCTTGCACATGCGAAGTGATCATTAAGTAAAATCCATCAATCAATTCACGAAAGTTAATCTATCCTTTCTTATCATGTGCAACTCACCCCATACCCCAGACATGTTTTAACTTAATCTCTAGCTTCCTTTCTACGCAGGTTTTTGCTATGTCTTTATTTCTGTTTCCACGTAGGTTCCAGTGAAAAAGCATTCTAGTTACTGTATATTTTCTCGAGGTTTTTTCAGTGTGTGTCCTATCCAACACACGCGTTTTTCTACACATCTTGATTTATGTGAATTTGTTCAGTTCTCTCCCGAAGCTCTACAATAGTGATTCTACCATACCACTTAATTTCCTATGCTTTGCACAGGCACTATTTAATGAATATTTGTAGTTTATTAACAATACAAAGGGACTTCGTGTATGATACATGCAAGTGTGTGTAACAAGGGAAATTATTAATACAATTTTTTTTCCACTAGTCTTCTTCGACAAATTTGGACACTGCGAAAGAACACAACCGTTTGACCTGGCCGATGAGAAGTACATACTGAAGCATATAGGAGGCGGGTTCGTTCACGAGACTCTCATCTGCGACATCACGTTAAAGTCTCCCACAGGTTACGGTGTTTGTCTAACGTTTGAGGATCTGGAGATCGACGACTGCTCCGTGCGCATCAAGATTTACACGTCCTCAACCAGCACTGGGCCGGAATGGGTAATGTCTGTTTGTCGTCTTTGCTTCTTTTGTTTGTCTTATCTTCTTTTTCTTTTCCGTGTTCACAAGCTGTAAAAGTTCTGGTTGTTCATCCACTTGCGGACTGCAGTCCTAATCCAGAACCTGAGCGTTGCGTGTGCCTCCATTTTACAGATCTGACTCATTTGTATGCAGACTGCTGGTTCCTTGCCTCTCAGGCAGATGCACTCCGACTTCGAAGGAAAATCTCAGTCAGTCGACTGTTATGAAATGCTTTTGGGTAGGCGGTGGGTCTATTCTTGTTTTCCCTATAACAGAGCCCCGGAACCCACATAGGGTGTTTGTCTTATCAGTTCTAGAGTGTCGGCACTCTTGTTATGCCGCCTGTCTGTCTGGTTGCCTGGCTACCCGCCTGCCCGCCGTACGTTTGAGGATCTGGAGATCGACGACTGCTCAATGCGCTAATAGATTTACACGTCCTCAACCAGCACAGGGGCGGAATGGTTAATGTTTGTTTGTCTTTTTGTGTTTACCGTTTGTCTTATTGTTGTGTGTGTATGTGTATACATGTGTGTGTGTGCGTGTGTGTGTGTGTGCGCGTGCGTGCGTGTGTGTGTGTGTGTGTGGGGGGGGGGGCTCTCTTGTGATGCTGTCTGACTGCCCGATTGTCCATCATTCTATCCTCAACGTTTGAAAACCTGGAGATCAACGATTGCTGGACGCGCGACAACACCTATAAGTCCTCTACCAGTACCAGTACCAAAATATGTACTACATGTTGTGTTCCTAGTTTAGATTGACTAAACTACGATGCTAGCTGCACACGTATACTCTCCACAGCAAAGTGACGAGCAACATATCACGTGATACCCTCAGTAATGTAATCGTAACTTACTAATGTTTACATATACCAACTGAACATGCCTTGCCAGTGAGAAATAATATGTCAAACAACTCACGCAAATATTTCCGATTCAAGTCGCCCTCATGTGGGATGCAAATTTTTTTTTTTTTTTTTTTTTTTTTGTTTATTTTGAAGCCCCACCCTGGCTGTTGCTGGGGACCCTAATAAACCCTAACGGTTGAACGAGGTTCCCGGGACCTCTCCATGGGTGATCCTCATCCCCATGGTGGCACTTTATGTCACCGAGTGTTTTTCGCTCTGTGTGATGTTATGGTAGGGGTAAAACGTACATACTTACTAACTCACACAAGTCCTGTACCTAGTTATCACAGCCAGCTCACCCTACGTCCTCCCCTTTTTTTTTTTAAAACTTGACTCTAGCTTCCTTCTAAGTGAATTTGTTATGACAGTTTGTTCCTGTTTCCTCTATCCAATTAAATAAGTGCAAGAATTCAAATATCTAGGAAGCATATTTACAGAAGATGGTAGCTTCGACAAAGGGATAGAAAGCCAGAGTTAGAATGCAAATGCTGTCACCTACCAGTTAACCTCACTGCTTAGACACCCAAATGTCTCCCTTTCAGCAAAACAACAAAGGATTTAATAGCACCTTCGTCCCTACCTTATTATATCAGTGCCTAACATGGACAATAAAAAGGGAACTAGAAATACACTGCTTCCCTAAGGTCAACAACAACAAAGGGACCGGGCTACGAATACCAGCAACCGAGAGAACATTAGAGAACATTGTCCAAATTATTTAGACCAATGAAATACTCGAACCAGGTAGTGAGAATGCAGCTAGACCAAACTACATATCTTCTTCTTCTTCTTCTTCTTCTTCTTCTTCTTCTTCTTCTTCTTCTTCTTCTTCTTCTTCTTCTTCTTCTTCTTCTTCTTCTTCTTCTTCTACTCGCGTTTCACTGGCTTTAAACTTCGGCGGAAAGTCTGGCTGTTCTTCCACCTCTGAACTCTAGTCTTGAGAATCTGAGTTGCGTGCACATCAGTTTGACACTTATATGTATACAGACTGTTGGTTCCTTGCCTTTCAGGCATATGCACTCCTACGACATACTTGTTGAGGATGCAGTTGGTCTATTCTTGTTTTCCTCACAACGGGCCCCAGAGCCCACACCGGGACAAACTGTATACGATTTTTTTTTGTTTACAGCAGAACATCTGGGAGGGAAGCAAGAGGAAGACCAAGAAAGAAATGGATAAATGGTGTAGCTGAAACCTGCAAAAAAAAAAAAAAAAAAAGCAAATCCATCACCCAAGCCACCCGAAAAACGCAAGACAAATTTTGAAGACAAAAAAATAATAATAAAAACGGCGCTGGGCTACAACCTGGAACTAGTGAGGCGACAAAAGAAGAAAAGAAAGATGAACATTGTATGATGCCGATGACAAAGATGACGAGGCTGATAAAGATGGTATGGGCGGTTGTTGTGATAATGAGGATGATACCTACTAATACAATGTCGGTAATCATGATGAAATATGAGGATAAAGACGGTAACGATGAGAATGGAAATTCTGCCATCAAAGTCTTCGACGGCCAACTCCTAAGTGCACTGTTTGCTTCCTATTGCAGCGGTCGCTGGATTGCAACGACGACTCCCCAGGGCAGATGTGCACCACTGACCGTTTCGTCACGGTCCGAGTGGTCAAGGATAAACTCAACTACAACAGAGGCTACTCCTTCGAGATTCATGTCGAGAAAAGTAAGTGGACAAGACAACTTATTTCTGAACTATTTTTATTTAGAACAGCAAGGAACCTTTGTGACTGTTTCATGCGTGACTTTTTCAGCGCTACTGTAAAAAAAATATTTTTGCGGTGAGTATCGGCGCCTTTTTAGACACTTTATGGTGAGGACCGGCGCCCTTTTAGACACTTTGCGGTGAGTATCGGCGCTTTTTTAGACACTTTGCGGCGAGTATCAGCGTCTTTTTAGACACTTGACGGTGAGTACCGGCGTCTTTTTAAACACTTTGAGGTGAGTATTGGCGTCTTTTTAGACACTCTGCGGTGAGTATTGACGCCTTTTTAGACACTTTACGGTGAGTACCGGTGTCTTTTTAGACACTGTGGTGAGTACAGGCACCTTTTTATTTCTAGAAGAAAAAGACTCTATTTGCTATTATTTTTACAATTGTGATGATGATGATGGTGGTGATGATGGTAATGTTGGTGATGATGGTAATGCTGGTGATGATGGTAATGTTGGTGATGATGGTAATGTTGGTGATGATGGTAATGTTGGTGACGATGGTAATGTTGGTGATGATGGTAATGTTGGTGATGATGGTAATGTTGGTGATGATGGTAATGTTGGTGATGATGGTAATGTTGGTGATGATGGTAATGCTGGTGATGATGGTAATGTTGGTGATGATGGTAATGTTGGTGATGATGGTAATGTTGGTGATGATGGTAATGCTGGTGATGATGGTAATGCTGGTGATGATGGTAATGTTGGTGATGATGGTAATGTTGGTGATGATGGTAATGCTGGTGATGATGGTAATGTTGGTGATGATGATGGTGGTAATGATGGTAATGGTGGTGATGATGGTAATGGTGGTGATGATGATGGTGGTGATGATGGTAATGGTGGTGATGATGGTAATGGTGGTGACGATGATGGTAATGGTGGTGATGATGATGGTAATGGTGGTGACGATGGTAATTGTGGTGATGATGATGGTGGTGATGATGATGATAATGATGGTGGTATAATGACGCTAATGGTGATGATGACGATGGTGATGGTGGTGTGGTAGTGGTGGTGATAACGATGGTGGTGATGGCGATGATGCTGTTGTGGTAACATGAATAGTTGTGATACCAGTAGTAATGCGATGCCTCTACACTGACTCTCTTCCCAGGTCACAACATCACGGAGAAGGGGGTGCTGTTCGCTTCTATCGGGGTGTTCGTGGCGGTGATCCTCGGCGTGGTCATCCTCACGTCGATCCTCTTCTTGTTATTCCTCTACTGCTGCTGTTGCCGGCGCCGGAGCGGCTTTCAAGTGAAGACCCTGGAGATTAATCAAATACCTCTGCAGGAGAATGGCAGTCTTGTGCAGCCGTCAGGTGAGACAGCGGTGTTTCTGTAGCCTTGTCGTGGTCATTCAGCTGAATCGCCAATTGCTTTATACAAACATAAGTCTAGCCTCCTACACCATGTCTAGGTGAAATTCCATATTGTCAACTATTACTGTTTTTTTTTTTTTTTTTTTTTGACACATACTTTCAACACATGTTTTTAATTGTTATGTTTTTTTAATTATTTTTTCCATTTTTTTTTTGTGTATTTGTGTGGTATTGTTTGATTTGTATGTGCTGATGAAGGCTTCATAGCCGCAACGTTCATGTTTTGTTTGTATTTGTTATGTTGTCAAGCTTGCTAACATAATTTTCGTTCGCTTTTATATCTTTTCTTGATACACCATATGTAGCACTGGCGTGTAGAGGGGCCGTCCATTGTTGTCCGTGCTGTCTTTATCCTCCCATGGTTTATATAGGGATTGTTCCTTCGAAGTTTGGAGTGCATCTGCCTGAGAGGCAAGGAAAAAACAGTCTGCATACAAATGAGTCAGATCTGTAAAACGGATGCACACGCACAACTCAGGTTCTGGATCAGTACTGCAGTCCAGAAGTGGAGTAACAATCAGAACTTTCCGCCAGAGTTTACAGATGGTGAACGCGAAGAAGGAGATAAGGACTGTAGGAGTGTAGTTAGAATCATCGGCGACCAGGTCGCCCAGAACGAACTTTATTTTCAAAGGATCTTACATCCGACCCTTCTAAACATCCATCTTTCACACAGCAATTGTATTTCTTCAATAAAGCATACTATGTTCCTATAAAAAAAAATTCATAATACGAATATCAAGGAACAAACACAAACACTTAAAGATCATGAGGCAGACCAAGAACAATATGGGAAGATAACCATCAGAGAAACTTTACAACAGCATGATGTTTCTATAGTCGAAGTGGCCAGAGCAGACGAACAGACTTAACCAGAGAAGCAAGAAGTAGAACCTTATCTCTCCCTCGACACCCGAAGCGGTAAAAAAAAAAAAAGGAAATAAAAAAGAAGAACTGGAGAAAAAATAAAAAGGAGAAAAACTTCAGAATGCAATGGCAAACGGCTAAAAGTATAACTACACCCTAAAATTAAGGCAGTGCATGCTTGAATTTGTTTACTTTTTCTTCTTTTTTTTTTCAATATTCCGAGGTTAATTGCTGCAGATATCACCCGCCTCCATTCATCTCTCTGGCTGGCCTTCTCTTTCCAGTTGGTGACATCAAGTGTTTGCAAGTCTGTTTGGACATTATCTCTCCCCCCCCCCCCCCCCCCCCCCCCGTCTTATTTGTCCGTCTTGTGGATTACGACCACCTGATATTCTCTCAGTATGCCCCAGTCATTTCTGTTTATTCGCTCTCGTGATGCCATACGTTTGTTTACGACTTGCAGAAAATGCAAATTACTTAACTTTACATAAAAGAACAAACCATGAATGATTACCGTATGTGTTTCAGCGCCACCAGTCGATATAGAAGACAGACTTTGGGCAGCAAACTCTACGAGTCACATGTATACACATTCCCAATACGGGCCATACCCGCTGCAGCACATGCCTCCACCTTACACATCCCCGCCACCCTACCAGCAGGACTGTACAGTGGAAGTCACTCGATACACACAAGGACCTCTCTCAAACTACCCCGTGAAATGATGGCACCTGTGAGTTAGAACTTTTGCACGAACGCCTGAGAAACCTGGTATCTGTATCTGTGTTTCTGAATGTACACTAGTACCTCGGTACATGAACTTAATTGGTTCTTTGATTCCGTTCGCGTTGCCAAATGTACCCCAAAATTAAAACAATACAAATATAATTAGTCCGTTCGCCAACCTATAAACATTTTTATTAATTTTTTTCCTTTCACTTTTTGTGAATTTATACTTGACAAAAATATATAAAATAAAATATACATTATAAATTTACCTTTGTAGTTGATGGCTGCTGGCACGGGTAGAGGGTAGATGGTAGATGGTAGAGGAGAAGGAGAAGGAAGACTTTTCCGGAGAAGAGTCCCATTCCATAATAATGTCTGGTTAGCTAAATGCAAAAAGGGACCTGTTCACGTTTTCCGGTTCATCCACACACTTTCTCAGTCTGATCTAGGTCAGAAAGGCGTCACGTTGTACTGCTTGCTTCGAAAAGAGTCTCTTGTGTGACCTAGCCTCAGGCTGTGGGTAGGGGGGTTTGGGTAAGGCCAGTTCTAGATATTCTGGAGTCGTTGAAAGCTGTGTCGTTGTGTAGTAAAGAACACGCAACATCGGTGTTGAAGTAGTTGAAGGGAAGACAATGTGACACCCCTCTGACAGAGAACAGTCTGAGAAAGTATGACTGAAAGGTCAGCCAGTGTGTAGATGGGCTGGTAAACGTGAACTAAACCGAAAAAAAGAAGGAAAAAATGTATCAAGAACAAGCCACCAACAATGCTCCCAGCATGTAAACCTGAGTACAACTGATGCTGTTCGTCAGTCTAAAACATGGCGCCAAAGCCATGTTTGTGGATTCACGCACCGAGGTATTGTTCGCAGGTCGTCAGATGTGTTTAGAAAATTGTGTTCGTGACTAGAGGTGTTCGTGAGCCGAGCTACCAGTGAACGTTCAGAGTTTAACGTGGTATGACTGAGAGAGAAGGTTTCATTTGTTTATACATTTGTTATAACTGTGGAAAAACAGTCCCAAAAAAAGGCGAAGATTTATCATGGCGAAATGACAACACGTTAAACTGGACAGTTGCTAGGGAGTGAATATATCAAGACTGTGTCAGCGAATGGACAGAAGTCTCGCAAAATCAATGTTACACATAATGGCAGCAATTATGTAACAAAGGTACGTCAGAGAAATAGAAATAACGGCAAGATTATCATGTGAACTTTCGCGCGCTTAAAAACGACCTTGGACCCCCAGGTCGCACGCAACACTCAAGTTCTGGAACAAGACTATAGTCCGGAGGTAGACGAGCAACCAGAATTTTCCGCCGGAGTTTACAGCCGGTCAACAGGAAGAGGAAGATGAATTGTAAAGGTTCAAGAAGTCCGGACTAGACAAGGACGATGGGTCTCACCAACCGCCAGGCCGCATAAATGTTTCATCCGCATTGAAATGGCTGACGCAAACTTTTAATCTTAGCCAACCAACAGCTGTCCTAAGTCGGTAAGATACACAACATGAGAAAAACTATCTACGGCTGCAGAGTTTGGGCCTTCTTATTTTCAACAAAGAAGACACAGACAATAGATTGTACAATTTTTCGCCTGGCATATTTTGCGGTATCTCGTCAGGTGCATACTACAGTAACAATTACATTTAATGAAGCAAGTAAGTTGTTTGTCTCTTCATTGTAAAAACTTACAACGGGGACAAATTGCTTTGGTTATCTTGTTTTGTTGTACCGGTAAGACACATCACTGCCAAGTCGCCCTATCATGTGTACATTCCTGAAGAATTATATCAATGTTTGCTAGTACCCTCAGGGCAGCGCTGGGTTTAGCCACCGCCAACTCTAGATTTTATTATAGCTAAAGATGGCCGTGGTTTAGCTATAAGCAAACCATGGCCCTAAAAATGCTATAGTGGGCTGTGCTACAACTCACCACTTACAGTCTGCCGTGACATAACCCCCCACACAAATGCTATTTTGTTTTAAAACACTTTAAATGCAGTTTTTTTGTGTGATATATTTTAAATTTATTAAAGTGTTTAAAGTTGTAACATGGGGGTGGGGTGGGGTTGGGGGGGTATTTCAAGGATTGCATAGTTTATGTGACAGCCGCTGGCCGAGCGGTTACATCCAGGCTCACATGTGGGAGACCCCTGTTCGGCCCCCGGTAAGGTGATGGCGTTTTTCTGTCAGGGGCAAAATTAAGCATCCGAACCTGCACAGTCCGTGGCAACAGCCCCAGTCATGCGGCACTAAATCCTCCAGCTCAGCCTAAACAAGTGGCAAAACATACAGTAGTTGACAGCATAATTTATGTCATTTTGCTAACACATTCTTTAATATTTTTTTAAAAACATATTAGGCGACAACATTTTTCCATTACCCATATATTTAAATGGCGAATATATTTTAGTTTTCTAAGATTAGCTGATTCAGGGCTTTATAAAGCTTAGGACCGCATTGAGTCTAAATCCAGCTCTGCCCAAAGGTAACTATTGCACGATAAATTTCATATGTAGCACCGAATGTTTGAAGGTAAGAGGCGTGTGTCTGTCAGTATGTCTGAAGTGTGTTGTTGATTTGAGTTTTCAAAAGTATTTTGATCAGGCCTAGGAGCGGCTGGCCGAACGGTTAGGACACTGGGCTCTCCCGCGGGAGACCCAGGTTCGAATCATCGGAAAGGCTGGGGATTTTCCCACCACCTGCACAATCGTGGCGACAGCACTAGCCACGAGTCAAAGACCCCTCGCCTACACACATAAACTTGATATATAATAAAGGCAGTAACTGGTGTTGATCAGGTCAATGCAGCGAGAAACAATTGTTGCCCTTTAGCTATTTTGTTGCTTGCAACTTGCTCTTTTAGCAGCTTTGTTGGCAAATTTATAAACTCTAGAATTAAAATCAAAATGAAGTTTTTATAGTGCCCCCCCCCCTCCCGATATTCCCCAAGTCTGAACTAAACATTAAAAAAATAAGAAGGTACTTTTCAGCTTCCCCCCCCCCCCCATCTTGGGGGCTGCGAGTTTTGGTGGGGAATTCATAGGGTTTCCCCCGGCAGGTCCTATAGTCTATGGGTTTATGGTTAGTTTTCTCTTCGTCTTCTCCTTTCGTTCGCACAAAATAGATTGTCTTTATCTGTAGGGTCGTCACTAGAACTTAACTTCACTGGTTTCTGTAATTCACTTAGCGACCTATAAAGTTCGGCTTGAACCAGCTTTTTTCTTGGGCAGACCTTAGGCAGTGGAAATTAGAGATATTCTGGGGCAGGCGATGAGAAGGTCCGTCATGCAGTACAAGGTCCTGAAAGGAGCGGCAGTCTCTATGTATGCACACTTATCAGTTAGGGTTAGATGTAGGAATGCTGACAGGTCAAGGACATTCACGGCGAAGGGCACGAAATAATAACACCGTTTGCAAACAGGGCACAGTAATGGCGACGACCGAAACACCCCAGGGGCCACGTTAGCGCAGTCGATAAGAGGCTCGCTGTCAAATCCAGCTGCGACTCGCTGCAGCCCACGGACGGTGTTCGAAACCGGGCGGCTCCCGGTGTTCACCCAGCTTCTGGGAAATGGGTACCAGAGTTGACACTCTGGGGTAAATGGAGGAACGTCGCTGTAGCTACAGAGTTACGTGCGAACGGCGACACAGGCTGACAATTCTTATCAGCTGTCCGTACTGGTGGCAGAGCGCTTATGGTTTATAACCGGTTACAATGACGCTGGTTCACATCTCCCGACTTTACTTTTACCCTGGAAATGATGACGCAATAAACTATGAGCACGCTGAAAACAACATATGACATGCCTAGAACACGTCCGACTGCATATGTCCTCAAGATGGCCGTGGCCTAGAAGAACACAGTAGTTTTAGTGTTGTAAGGTTACTGTTAAATGACAGAAAACCATGCGGGAGCCATCCGTCGTTACATCAAACAACAGAATGGAAGTTGTTAGCCTAACAACACTTACAGACATACCCAGGGTGAGACTAGAGCATTTATGGTCATGTCCGATGAAGATGATCTCTAACGTGAACTATGAACTATATTAAATGAACACAGACTAAGACTTACCCTAACCCCTCTCTACTATAGGATCTTCAGTGAAACCCTTTAGGAATTCCCCCACAAATCTCGGAGCCACAGAGATGGGGGTGAAAAAACTGAAAAGAACAACATAAAGTATTGTATATATAAGTTTTATCGATAAGAACGAAAAACACGCAACCACAGCACGAAGAACGAAACGCTGTAGTAATTACTTTTATATACTGGAATAATTACGCATGTTAATATTACAGTAGACAAACAACCGGAGTGGTACCAACTCTTCATAAACAAATATTTCGTGACTGCTGATTATCTGACAGCTCACGTTTACTTCGTGTTTTTTAATTGCTCACGTTTTCAGTTTCCGATTACACTGCAAGATCGCATAGAGCAGGGATTGTCATTCTGCGGGTCGCCATCCTTTCATAGGGGTCGCCTAAGACCATCGGAAAAATCCATATTACTGGAAGTTATAAAGAAAAATAGTTGTTTGAAATTTAGAGTTTTATTCCCGGCTGTTCTTCTTGCTTGAACTCTCGTCAGGATAAGAGGAATTTCTGATAAAAGGTCAGTTCTGCTTATCAGGTCTGCAGGGTATTATCAAAGGTCAACTGTCTGTTGGGCCGGAAAGGGAAAGTATCACAAAAGTAAACCACAACACATCTTTTTTTGAGGAAAAGCAGCAGCAGCATGCGTGGAAGAAAAAGAGGAGGAGGAGTGGGAAAAAAAGAAGAGGAACAAGAAGAAGAGGGAGAAGAAGAGGAGGACGATCAAGAAGAAAAAAAAAAGAAGAGGAGAAGCAGAAGAGGAAGAAAAAGAAGAAGAGGAAAAAAATAAGAAATAGAAGACGAGGACAAGGAGGACAGTGATCCATGTTGAATTCTCAGTAAGCAATGACCCATATTAAACTCTCGGTGTAATCAAATGACAATTCTCAAATAA